GGACCCTGCTGAGGTCCTTTGCCAATCTTCTGTCACAATCCCACTAGCCTCCAAGTGGGTGTGACGGCGCGTTGGGGGTCCTCCGTCTCCTGCACCCCGAAATGGCACAAACAGACTGCACCCGCCAGTGGAATTGAGGGTGGTTTATTGCTCCCCCAGCACAGCGCAGCACAGATGAATCTGGTCACAGAGCTGGGCTAGGATGCCTCAGGCCCCCTTGAGATGGGGGAGACTGGGCCCCTAAACTCCAGCCCCTTTCCCTAGGCTGTCTCCTCCATGCTCCCAGCCCGCAACTAACTAACTCTCTTCCAGCCCTGCCCCCCAGCCAGGGCAGCATTCCACCTTCCTTTGTTCCTCTCCATGGGAGGTGTCTGGCCATACTGGTTTTGCATAGTGACTCATCCTGTTTTGCTGGGTCGTGGTACCCACGGCAGCCAGTGGGGGTTACCCCAGAGCCAGCAGCATAGAAACCAGCCAGGTACCCCCACTACGTCACAGTGGGCAAACAAGAAATATTATGTTCCAGTCAAAGGGGCAGGATTTCTTTTCAGCTAACCAGCCCCCAAACTCCTTTGTAATTGAGGCAGTGCACCATAGAGGCAAATAAACAGTTTACTTAATTTCCATCTGATGACTGGAAGCACTTGGACATCTTTGGAAGAAATTCTTATTCATCTGCTTTCTTACAGTTCCACATAGCAAACTTCTGTTCTTTTAGCAAAATACACAACACTTTTGACAATACGAAAACTTTTATTGATCAACTTCTAGAGGATGCCTGGGAGCAATGTAAGTTGAACATAGCAGAAGGCTCCATTATAGTAAAGACCATGTTGCAGGCCTCCTTCGATTAGGCAGACATACTCACTCAATCCCTTGCCACAGCATAGCGATGTGTTGCACCTCTTGGCTCCAGCTCTCTGGCTTCCCTAAAGAACTACAAAATACAGTTGGATAAAAATTATTTGAAGAATCTACAGATGCATCCTGACATATGCTCAAGACTTTCATGCCACTTTGAAAACTGTAGGCATGTATGAACCTCAACCAAAGAAAAAGCAGGGGCACTATTATATCCAACTCTTCTGCCCTGCACTTCATCCACTGGCTCAAAGATCATAAGACCAACACCAGAGAAAAAGAGAGCCATGATGAAGCCAGAATGTCTTCATCCCAGCCTTCTACTTCAAGACAACCATTTTGAAGTTTTGGTTGAGGTTTTGATCTTTCCTCCCATCTAAAGGCTGCGGAACCCATAATCTATTCAGCCATTGCCTCTTACCATACTACCACATCTGATGCAACATCGCCTCTGATAGATGGGTCCTAAAAATAATCTTCAACGGTTACTCTGTCCCACTTTCCCATCCATCTTCCCCATCCCTCTTCAGGGACCCTATCCATAAGACAAGAGGAAGTCACTCATCTTTTGCATCCAAGAGCAGTAGAGGAGGTACCACCTCCACACAGGGGGACGGGGTACTCCTGCTATTTTGTCACACCAAAGAAAAGTTGGTGTTGGAGGCCTATTCTGAATTTGTCAACTGAACAAATTTCTTCGCCATCAACATTTCAAAATGGTAACACTGACAACAATAATTCCACTTCTACAACAGGGAGATAGGTGTCCTAAAGGTCGAGGGATGACAGCTAATTTCATATTACTATACATCCAGCACACAGAAGATTCCTGTGTTTCATGCTTGGAACTCTCACTTCCAATACAGAGTTCTCTATCCTTCAGACTCTCCACATTGTCAATGATCTTCACAAAAGTTTTCACCATTGTGGCTTCCTACCTACACAAATTGGCATCAAAATAATCCCATATTTTGATGATTGCCTAATAATGGCATTGCCCCTCCAAGAGGCAACAGCAGCCCTCAGACTCTCAGTACACCTTCTGACCACCATAATCTTCCAGCTAAACTACCAAAAGTCCTTTCTTTCCCCAGCTCAACAGCTGGACTTTATTGGAGCCCAGCTAGACAGTATACAAGCAGGGCACCAAGCTACCCCAATCACAGTTTCACACTTTAACAGACCTAATGACAACCATCACACAAAGCTCCTGAGTAACAGCCAAACAGTGTTGTCAACTATAAAGGGACATGTCAATCACCACATCTGTAGTAAAAAGCGCAAGACTGCACATCTTGTGCCTGAAAGGATGGCTACAGGGCTCATACAAACCCCACAAACACTCATTGCACAAACTAATAAACATGGTCTCCAGGGTAAAGAGCTCTTTTCAGTGGTGGCTGCAACCATTGAACATATAAGCCCTGTTATCTAGAGTTGTGGATTAGATCTTGAACCTCAAACAACAAGGGCTTGCTAATAGCTCCATAACAGTATACCTGGTGGCTCTCTCCATGAGGCACTGTAAAATTGAAAGTATCAGAGGGGTAGCCGTATTAGTCTGAATCTGCAAAAGCGGCGGGGAGTCCTGTGGCACCTTATAGACTAACTGAAGTTTTGGAGCATAAGCTTTCACCTTTTGTGGTCTTTGCCCACGAAAGCTTATGCTCCAACACTTCAGTTAGTCTGTAAGATGCCACAGGACTCCTCACCGCTTTTATAAAATTGAAAGATACCTGTGCACATCCAACTACCGAAGCATTTAATGAAAGGGACGAATAACACTTTCCCACCTTTCAAACAGTCAACCCTGATGTGGTACCTTAATATATGGTACTTTGCACACTTACAGGCAAAACATTTGCACCAAGACCCCACCCCAAATTTCTCCTCAAAATAGTCTCCTCCTTTCACTTTAATCAACTCATTTACTTACCTTTATTATTCCCAAAGCCTGGTACAGACACTAGATAAGTGGTGCTCCACTCCCTCGATGCGCAGCGAGCACTCACCTTTTACCTAGAGAGAACAGAGACATTTAGAAAATCCCCACAACTATTTTTCTTCTGCTGAACAATCCAAAGGCAAAGCAATATCCATACACTCTCTAAATGAATCTCTCAGTGTATACAGATATGCTATGCATGCAACAATACCCCTGCTTCCTAAACAGTTCACATACAGTCTACAAGAGCTGTTTTCCCATCATGGGCTTTCCTCAGTAATGTTCCCATCACAGACATCTACAGAACAGTGATATGGACATCAGTCCATACATTCATCAAACGTTACACAATAAGTAATATACCTCAATGGACAAATACTTTGGATGTCTGTATTAACAATGGCACATAGATTGCCAAGCCCTACCTTCCACCACAAGACATTGCTCCATAGTCATCTAACATGGAGCATCCACGGGGACATTCTTCAAAGAAGAGAGGATTACTCACCTTGTGTAGTAACTGAGGTTCTTTGAGGTGGTTGTTCCTGTGGGTGCTTCATGACCTTCCCTTCTCTCTTCTGTTTCGGATGAAAATGACTTTTTGGGGTGTAGAAGGAACCGAGGGATGGCCGATAACTGCTCACACAGCTAACAGCCATGCACTAACTGGACTTGTTCAGGTGATCCCCCTAGGCCAAATGGACATACTTTACATCCTGGGCCCAAATGCAAGGTCTTGCCTCCAAAGCTGTCGTCAGCCCTCTATTTCTTTAAACTGTAAACCTCAGGACATGCTCGAAGCCTTATCAGAGTGAATGCAGTCGCCGTTAGTGTTTTCCACTCTCCAGTAGAAGGGTATTTGATTTTTACCCATCCCTGGACCACATGATTCTGGAAGGGACTTTGACATCAATATTTGCCTATTCATCTTGTTGATTACCCTATGGGATCTAACAATAGTCCTTACCTCTTTAATTAACTCTCTTTTTGAGCTGCTGATCTCCTGTCTTCCCTCTCTGGTGAGCTGAGAGGTGCTGGTAAATCCCCCTTCCATCACATTCCATAAAGACCAGGTGTCACCTATGACTGCATCCCAAGTTTCTGCCAAGGTGATTTCCCAATTCCTTCTCAGCCACTCCATACATCTAGCACCTTCTTTCCAAAACCATGTGTTCCAAATGGAGAACGGTGGCTTCATTCCCTTGATGTGTATATGGCCCTGGGTTTTTACCTACAAAGGAGGAGACAATTCCCAAAGGCTACCAGGCTATATGTTGCCATAACAGAGAGTAAAAGAACAGGCCATTTCTACCCAGCGAATCTCTTAATCAGTTTTAGGGTGCATTAAGTGCGCTGTCAGTTGTCAGGGCACTCCCGACCAGATGGGATACAAGCCCATTCTCATCAATCCCAGCGGTGCTCCACAACATACCTGGACCTGGCGCAGGCCAGGACTGAGCCAGGCTACCTGCCCACCTGGCTCCTAAATGACTTTCCCTGCAGGGCACAGTGTGAGTTGCTCCAGGGACCCGGCACCAGCTGGGACTGAGCCATGTTGCTGGCGAGTCCTCTAAAAATTTACTGGTGCGGGAGGGAGGAGATGCATGTAGTCGATAGAATTAACCGATACGTTTTTGCTTATCTGTTAATTGTTCAGTCATCTACACTATTACATCCCTAGTCCCCATAAGTCTCTATGATGAGAACTAAATTGTGAGAATTTTTAGATATGTTAACTTTTATAAGTGAACATAAGAACAGCCGTACTGGGTCAGACCAAAGGTCCTTCTAGCCCAGTATCCTGTCTACCGACAGTGGCCAGCACCAGATGCCCCAGAGAGGGTGGACCGAAGACAATGATCAAGCGATTTGTCTCCTGCCATCTCTCTCCAGCCTCTGAAAAACAGAGGCCAAGGACACCATTTTATCCCCTGGCTAATAGCCTTTTATGGACCTAACCTCCATGAAATTATCTAGCTTCTCTATTATAGTCCTAGCCTTCACAGCCTCCTCTGGCAAGGAGTTCCACAGTGACTACACGCTGTGTGAAGAAGAACTTTCTTTTATTCGTTTTAAACCTGCTACCCATTAATTTCATTTGGTGTATAATATTCAAGTGGTGTAATACCTTTATTTGTGCAAATCTCTTATCTTTTTTTAAAACAATTAAATGCAATGTTTCTTTTACCTTTAGTTACTTGAATGATTTGGACAGGATAGCGCAAACCAGTTACATCCCAACTCAACAGGATGTTCTCAGGACTAGAGTGAAAACTACAGGAATAGTGGAAACTCATTTTACTTTCAAAGATCTTCATTTTAAGTGAGTGCTCAAGTTGTATGTGTAAACCTGTCATGTGTTTCATTCAAAGTTTTAAATGTTGATGATTAACGGTGATTTACATTTATCACAACTTATTTCCTGGCATTTGGAACTATTTTCAGAGAAGATGGGGTATCAGTGGGTGGAGAAGAATGGCTTTTATAGTGAGAGATCAAATATGATGAAGTAACACAAAGTTTATGGAGACATTCTCAACAGTGAATTGCTGTACCTGGAAAGCCTATTAAATTCCCATACAAACTTACATGTTTTCATGAATAATGTGCACATGTAAACTTCTTTCAAATAATCCCTTTTATATAATGTTGAAGAACTAGCAATTAAAAAAATCAGCTTTTCTTCAAAATCATTTGAACTGATGGACTACGAACATCAGTATTTGTGAAGTGCAGCCACTGAAATATCTTTTTATAGTAAAGCTAAATGATGATTTCTATCCCAATTTGCAACACGATGTTAAGTGCACTGACTAATTTGCAAATCCTAGTAAATACACTAATTGGTCTGAAGATAATTTAAGGGTTATGAGGGGTACCTGAAGGTATAAGCCAGGAAACAGTGAGTAGGAATAGAGAGGTACTATTACCTCTGAGTAGCACTTGTGAAATTATTATTAGAATGTATGTCTATTCTTAGTGTCCACACTTTAAAAAGGATGTTGAAATATTGAAAAGATTTCAGAAGAGAGCTGCAAAAATGAGTCGAGGTCTGGAAACTCAACTTACAGTGTGAGATTTAAGAAGCTTGGTCAATTTAATTTATCAAAGGAAAGGTTGGTCACTTAACACTTTTTTAAAGATCTCTTTATTGTAGCAAAGAAATCTACGGGTTGCAAGCCTAAAATAGATTAATTCTGTAGCTGGATCTAAAGATTCCCAGTGATCCTTTTGAGAGTTGACCCAAGATCAAGTCCGATCAGATTCCCAACCATAGAATAGTTGTAGTTACCCTGATGTGCACAGGTGCAAAACTTGTACTATAGGAACTTTTGTACATATACAAATAATTGATTAATATATTTAAAGAAGTCTCTCTCTCACTCACTCCCTCACTCACCAACCCAAGCTGGGCTGCAGAGGTGGGAGAGCTAGGAAGCCCAGTGTATGGTTCAGCTGGGCTGCAGGGGGAGCGAGAAGAGCCAGACAGGCTACTCAGGCTGGCCCGGAACACCCTAGACCTGCTCCACCTCCACTGGTTAACCGGAACCAGTAAGCATCACCTGTAAAAGTTAACCTTAACCTTTCACATCCCTAATCAGGCCTGGTGTAAACCAGAGCTGAAATTATATATATCAAAAAAGATATATTGTTATGGGAAAAGGTTCAGGAAAAGGCAACAAAATGATTAGGGGTTTGGAACAGGTTCCATATGAAGAGAGATTAAAAAGACTTGGCCTTTTTAAGCTTAGAAAAGAGGAGACCGGAGGGTGGGGAGGGGGATATTATAGAGGTCTATAAAATCATGACTAGTGTGGAAAAAGTGAATAAGGAAAAGTTATTCACTTATTTCCCCAATATAAGAACTAGTGGTTACCTAATGAAATGAATAGGCAGCAGGTTTAAAACAAACCAAAAGAAGTTTTTCTTCACTCAGCGCACAGTCAACCTGTGGAACTCCTTGCCAGAGGAATTTGTGAAGTCTAGGACTTTAACAGGGTTCAAAAAAATGCTAACTTGCTCTGCCTCTTTCCGCGAGCCAGGTCTGGTGGTGAAGATCAGGGCTCCTTCCCCCCCCTGCCGCTCCTCTATACACCTTCCAAGCTGGCAGCCGGAGCTAGTGCGGCAGCATGGGCTCCCAGCTGCAAGGAGGGGGAAGACAGGGGCTAAGCTCAAACCATGGACCACCTGGGAGGCAGCTGTGGACCACTTAGTGGTCTGCGGACTGCACTTCGATAACCACTGCTCATTCTCTATTAAAAAACCCACTGCGTGCGCGCTCTCTCTCTCAAAATATATAAAAATATAAATATAATAAATAAATAAATTATAAAATTTCCTGATGTCATCACATCACTTTGCATACAAAGGCTCCATTGTTCCACAAGCTTCCTGCCTGGATGCTGTTCGGGGATGGTAAAGCCACCTAGCAGTCCAGCCTGAGCAGATTCCACCTTCCAAGGGTCCTGTCCGCTTAGCTCTGGCCATAGCCTTTCGGGTAGTTTGTCCCCCGGCCCAGGGGCTGCTTCAGCTGGTGCAAGGTCCACTTGCGCTGAGAATGGAAGCAGGCTCACACATCCTTATGCTAACCATTGAGATGACTGCTAGAAGCATCTAAGATTGAATGGGTGGATGGGATCTGTCACAAACTAGGAGCCTGCCGATCTTGTGAGAAATAATGATTTGAACTACTGTTAGGGTAAGAAATTGCACATAAAAAGTTTTTTAGAATATTAAGCTTAGATTGTATATTTTGGTTTATTTAGCTTAGTAACTTACTTCGATCTGTCATCACTTGTAATCTTGGAAATCCTGCTTTTTATATTTAATAAAATAACTTTACATTGGGTTTAATGACAAGCCAAATAATTGTTTGGTGGGGGGGGGGGGATGGCAACAGCTGTGCATCTCTTTTTCATTGATAAAGGGAGCAAACAACTTGAGCTTACTCTGTATAAAACTTTTATGCAGAGTAAGACTGCTTTGTCTGGGGTTCTGGTCCCACTGGGGCTATGCACCTGAGTGCTGTGTCAAGTCTCTGTGATGGAGTCTTCCCAGAGGTGTGTTGCTTTGCTGTGGGCTGTGACCCCAACTCTGTGCCCTTGCTGGGGAAGACCAGAAGTTCTGGCTCAGCAGCACAGGATGCTGAGGTGCACCTGAGGACAGGGAGGTGCTCTCACTGGTATTATCAGTCCATCAGGAGACAGTCTCAAGGGGATCCATGTGACTGAACCCATCACACCCTATCTCCATTAAATTTGTGATTAGAGTGGTACAGCTTGCTCTCTCTCGCTAATTTTGTGTAGCATTCAGATGTCTGTAATTTTAATGCAATCTTATTTTTCTGTTTTGCAGAATGTTTGATGTGGGAGGCCAGCGATCTGAACGGAAGAAGTGGATTCATTGCTTTGAGGGAGTTACAGCAATAATCTTTTGTGTAGCGCTCAGTGATTATGACTTGGTCCTAGCAGAAGATGAAGAAATGGCAAGTAAACTAACCTTGAAGGAAGTGGGAGAAGATGAAATAGAAACTAAATGATCTTGAAACAAGTTAAATTCTTTATGAAAAGTGTATATATACTGTTTCCAGAAGGAAGTAATTTCCACTTTGCAAGTGTCCCCTTGTATAGTAGAGATGGTGAAGAAAATGCCATCGCTTTGAATAAAATTTCTAGAATTCTTATCACAGGTTGACACATTCTGGTCCAGCAACATTAGTGGTCCGATATAGTGTTAGTTAGCCGGAGGTTCACTTATGGATGTGGCAAAGTTTCCTGTTATCTTATAAAGGTTGTTTACAGCAACCAGTCCTGGCTCTGTGTTCTGTGCTGTTACTGAGCTCTAATTTACCCCTAAATGTCTTCTAAAAGCCCAGTAAGTAGTAAAGAGGTTGCTAGAAAATATTGAGCTCACATGGTTTGCAAATTCTCAGGCTTGGCATCAGTCAGGTCCCAAAGGTGCCTGACTAGAAAGGGGATACTTCTGTTTACGGATACCTGGGGTTCCGCAAGGGTCTGTTTTGGGACTGGCTCTGTTTAATATCTTCATCAACTATTTAGATATTGGCATAGAAAGTACACTTATTAAGTTTGCAGATGATACCAAGCTGGGAGGGGTTGTGACTAATCTGAAGGATAGGGTCATAATTCAAAATAATCTGGACAAATTGGAGAAATGGTCTGAGGTAAACAGGATGAAGTTTAATAAAGACAAATGCAAAGTGCTCCACTTAGGAAGGAACAATCAGTTTCATACATACAGAATGGGAAGTGACTGTCTAGGAAGGAGTACGGCAGAAAGAGATCTAGGGGCTATAGTGGACCACAAGCTGAATATGAGTCAACAGTGTGATGCTGTTTAAAAAAAAAAAAGCAAACATGATTCTGGGATGCATTAACAGGTGTGTTGTGAGCAAGACAGGAGATGTCATTCTTCTGCGCTAGTTAGTCCTCAGTTGGATTATTGTGTCCAGTTCTGGGCACCGCATTTCAAGAAGGATGTGGAGAAATTGGAGAGGGTCCAAAGAAGAGCAACAAGAATGATTAAAGGTCTAGAGAACATGACCTATGAAGGAAGGATGAAAGAATTGGGTTTGTTTAGCTTAGAAAAGAGAAGATTGAGGGGGGACATGATAGCAGTTTTCAGGTATCTAAAAGGATGTCATAAGGAGGAGAGAGAAAACTTGTTCATCTTGGCCTCTGAGGATAGAACAAGAAGCAATGGGCTTAAACTGCAGCAATGGAGGTTTAGGTTGAACATTAGGAAAAAGTTCCTAACTGTTAAGGTAGTCAAACACTGGAATAAATTGCCCGGGGAGGTTGTGGAATCCCCATCTCTGGAGGTATTTGAGTAGGTTAGATCAATGTCTATTAGGGATGGTCTAGACAGTACTTGGTCCTGCCATGAGGGCAGGGGGTTGGACTCGATGACCTCTCGAGGTCTCTTACAGTCCTAGTATTCTGTGTTCCAAAGAAACTAAATGAATGGAGATGCCTGTCTCCTAGAACTGGAAGGGACCTTGGAAGGTCATTGAGTCCAGTCCCCTGCCTTCACAGCAGGACCAAGTACTATCCATGACAGATTTTTGCTCCAGATCCCTAAATGGTCTCCTCAAGGATTGAGCTCTCAATGCTGGATTTAGTAGGCCAATGCTCAAACCACGAAGTTATCCCTCCCCTCACGTTCTAGTATTCCAGTATGTGTCTCTTTCTCTGATCTTTTTCCCTGTTTTTGTCTGTCATCTTTAGCTACTTATTCATTTTGTTGCTTTTTCCTTTCTGACTATTCTTTTCTGTCCTTGCAGACACCTTCCTCCCTATACCCCAGCAGAAGTAGACACAAACTAGCACCACTCTTTATTTATGTAGCTGCGTTTCTCTGCAGCTGACTTAATAAGCAAAGTTCTTTTGTGGCACTGACTTATATTGCACAGGTTGTACCTCTCTGGTCTGGAACCCTCGGGACCTGACCAGTGCTAAACGAGCGAATTTGCCAGACCAGAGGAGGCCCTCTGTTACCAGTTCCTCAGACTACCTACTCTCCTGGCTGCCAGCCTCAGCTGCCAGGCTGCCATGCTGCTGCAACCCAGACTGCCTTGGCTCCAGCACCGCTATCAGGGCTGCCACTTCCCTTGCCCCAGCCCTGCTACCAGGGCTGCTGCAGCTGCTGCATCTCCAGCCCTGGCCCTACTATCGGGGTTTGTGCGGCTGCCATATCTCTGGCTCTGGCCCCGTTATCGCAGCTGCCGTGCTTGTCATGTCCCTGGCCCTGCTACTGGGGCTGCCACAGCCCCTGCTGTGCTGCTGGGACTCTGGTGCTGGTCCCAGCCCCGCCAGGCTCTGAGCTGGCAGTTCTCTTGCCATTAGGGCTCCCAGCCAGGACTTTCTAATCTAGGGACATCCATAGTCCTGCCAGAACATAGATGATGCCAGATGAGGGAGTCCCAGTTTTGGGAGGTCCAATGTGTAGATTATAATTTGGGTGAGGAAAGGAAGTAGCCTTCAAATCAAGCTTCATCAAATTTGTTCCCCAGGTGGGTGGTAGTCTGTTGACTTAAACAGTTGGAAATCTGATAGAAACTATATGCATAACTAGAAAATGTTTGTGAATAAATCACTTGTAGAAAAACACTATTCATTTGATCTGGTAACACTGGAATACTTGACTCTTGCATAGCTGCCATACATTATTTTCAACTTCTTTAAGAGAAGCTGTACTGTAATCAGTTTGCACTTAAAGGTCAGGGTCTTCCATGGAATTATTTTTCTTTGTCACATTTGCAGTTATCAATGGAAAAGAGTTATTAAACTGTGCTATTGTTTAGACATTCAATATTCCAAACTACAGTAATAAATAAATGAAAAGAAAAACAAAAATAAAGAATTTACCTGCCTATCTTGTTCTTAGTTTGATAAATCACTAGGGTAAGGTTCTGGGATTCAGTGTACAAAAATACTTTGAGATTTTGCTACTCTGTTGGTAGTTTTCCTATATCAAACATGTATATGTTTTCTGATGTCATTATTCTTGTATTATATGACAAGTATCTTCTTGTCAATTGCAGAATCGAATGCATGAAAGCATGAAATTGTTCGACAGCATCTGCAACAATAAATGGTTTACAGACACTTCTATTATTCTTTTCCTAAACAAGAAGGATCTTTTTGAAGAAAAGATCAAGAGGAGTCCCCTCACTATTTGCTATCCTGAATATGCAGGTATTGTGATACTTATGTGGGAAGTTGAGTCAAGTCACTTCCAGTTACAGAATGTTATTACTGGTTTTATGATGCATGAGCAAGTAAAAAACAGTTTAATCTAGACTCAAAGTTGTGTATGTAGCTAGCAGTTAGGGGAGATCGCTTTTTAGTTTGTAAACTGAATCAATTTGATATGAAAGGTGAGTAACACAAACATGAAATTTTACAATGCCACTTTTAGTCACTTTAAGGTATGTGCCTAATCCTGCTCTCCTTACTTACTCATATTTGAAGCAGCTGAGACTACTTGTATAAGTCAAAGAGAGTTTAGGTTTTAGCTCATTGTAGACCAGGAATGCTACTGATAGACTAGTACTCATTATCTCTGAGCTGTCAGCATTGACAACCTGAAAAGCCACAACTAGGTCTAAAAGGGTATGTCTACACTACATGGCTCAGTCGACGGAGCCATATAGATGAGCTTTGTAGACATAGCAAAATGAAGCAGCAATTTAAATAATCGCCGTTTCATTTACATCAAAATGGCTGCCGCGCTGTGCCGATCAGCTGTTTGTCGGCACAGCGCGGTAGTCTGGACGCTTGGCGGTTGACATCAAAAGCCTTTGTCGACCGCCCCATTATGCCTCATGGGATGAGGGACAAACAGCTGATCGGCACAGCGCGGCAGCCATTTTGATGTAAATGAAGCGGCGATTATTTAAATTGCTGCTTCATTTTGCTATGTCTACAAAGCTCATCTACATGGCTCCGTCAACGGAGCCATGTAGTGTAGACATATCCAAAATGTTCCAAAATGCATTTAACTACAGCTTAGAGATAGTTATATGTATAGTTTTTTTCATATCTCAGACTTTTAAATAGCTTACAAAAGGGTAATTTCGAATTCTTTCCAACACAAATAAATTGTAAGGTAATGGTTTGAGAGCATAGTTGAACAAATATTCACTTACTTTTGATCATAGTTAAATATTTTAAAGTCATATTTAATGTATTATTACATTAATGGTTTATTGAAAGCTGATGTCAAACATCTTTTAAATACATGGACTATTTGGAAACACTAGGCGAGAATCCACAGAAATGTTTGGTTCATCGTTAAGTATTTAAAGTGTTTAAACAGTCTTTGTGATGAGATTCTTTCCAATTTATTTTGATTAGACTCTTATTTCCTCCCTTTTGCTCCAAAACCTTTAAAATCAGAATTGTATCCTAAAGAATTTTAGGGCATTTAGGTTTCTAAACACGTTGGAAGGAAAAATATGGAATACAAGAATTCTTTGGGAAGAGAGGACGATTGATTCATCAGTGGTCTACATTTAGACTTCTACTGCTTATGGGTAGATTTACATAATATTAAAATCTGTTGCTCTGTAGTGCAGAGAATACTTAGTTGAAAAACTAGAATTAAACTTGGAAGAAAAGGTGGAATATGCCAAATACAAATTTGGACAGATGGGGATGGTAGAAAGCTCTATGAAAAAGAAAAGTGATAAACACAAATGATGGAATGAGGGAAGAATTTTTTTGGTTTTCCTTAGTATTTAATTTCCTTGGTGATTAATCTGAAAATATGAAAAAAACAATTCTATGGAAACAAAACATCACTTATTTGAAGAATAGTTGAAGTTCATTAGTAAGCTTATCAACCTCCCATTGAAGTCAAGGGTAAAACTCCCATTTAAGTGGGAACTAGATTGATTCCACTGTTTTCTGTATAGATAATTAAAAATGTTATTAATATGTTTTATCACCAACAAGAGTTACAATATATAAATTAAAACAGTGACTGTGAGGTTATATAAAACTGCATAAAGTTCTTTCATTTTTAAAGAAACTGTCCAGAGGTTTTTAAAAACTAGTTAATGGCTTCTTTTGAAGTGAATGGCATTCATTGCTGCTTACTCTGAAATTTAGAGTTGATTGATAAACTTTTTCTCTTCCTTCAGGATCCAACACTTATGAAGAAGCAGCTGCATACATACAGTGCCAGTTTGAAGATCTGAACAAGAGAAAGGACACAAAGGAAATCTATACTCATTTCACATGTGCCACAGATACCAAAAATGTGCAGTTTGTTTTTGATGCTGTAACTGATGTCATCATAAAAAATAATCTAAAAGACTGTGGCCTCTTCTAAGATTTTGCATTAAATGGTAATTGTGTTCCTTGACCAGAATGAGTGGTGGGACTTTTTATCGTTTTGTATATGCCTCGATAATGTAAAGCATTTGTACATGTACATAGGAATCTAATTCTCTTGATCTTTATTTTTAGATTTCAAGAATGACTTCAAAAGCTTCTAATCTGATTGGGTTTCAAGAAGAAGGAAGTATAAAACAACTTGTTTTGAATGGCAGACCAGTACTGTACTTGCCTGTTTTAACAGCTTTATTTATGTTTGTCTTGTAAATTTAAGTAGTTAAATATTAGATAACAATGAAAAGTATCATGATTGTATGTATACTTGTAATTGTAGGAATGTTATTTGTATGAACATTGAACAGAATATTTTAATAACTCAATTGGTGTTCCAAAGTTTCCATATTTTATGAGAATGCCCTTGAAGGTAAATCTTTTTTTTTTTTCACCTTTGGATTATTTAAACATATTGTAAAATTTAATTTTTTGTTTCATTTTAAATCTGCATGCTGACTTATTGTAAGGTTTTTTTTTCAAAACCAAGTGTTATAGGCTTCTTAGTAGTCTAAAATAATCTTGTGCTAAATCAGATTTAAAGGGACACTGTGAATTCAAATTTGTTCCTAGTAGGTTTCGAAAAATGTTTTAAAATTTCAAGGCTGATGAAAGATTTCTTTGATTTGTTAGAATTTCAGCATAAACAACTGATTATAAATGTCGTCATCTTATATTTTTAGCCCAAGCATTCCAACACTGAAACTGAATTGGTTAATTTTCATTGCCCAAACTGATGTAAATGCAAAAAGAAATCATTTAGTTCAATAACAAATTAATTTAATGCATTTTGTCTGTGTATCATCTCTTCCTAATGTGTTGCTGTTAATTATAAGTAAAAAAAATATAATTCTCCAAATTATTGATAAAAAACATCAGATACTACTAAAAACAGTGTACAATACAGATTTTCTGTTACAGAACATTCTTTATATTTGCATCTCCTATCTATCAGTATTTGGTAATTATTTGCTGTTAACTTTTTAATGGCGTACACTTGTAATTTTGAAACTAACAGTGTCCCTTTAAATAACGTTGCATAGAATTTCATTTAAGTTAACTTTGCCTTTTTATTGTATAATTTACTATGTTAGGGGTATATTGTGCATTGCCTTATGGGTATGCCAAAACTGATTTTTATACGTTTGAAAATGAAACAAGCTTTTATTTTGTAAATAATTTCTCAGATGGTTGGCCTGAGCATTTTGGTTTGCTAAGAAATGTAATCACAACACATTTAGAAATTACTTTTTATAGCTATAGGAACATTGTAACTACCATACACCATACTACTTTGTCCATGACGATATCACTTCTGTAATACTCGTTTTCCATATTCTCTTATAGATACATATGCTTGGAAGTGTTCATTCTAAATGTCTGACTAGAGTTACTTTAAAGCATTAACTCATGTTTGATTGTGTGTATTTTTGGTTTAAGGCTGTGAAATGGCCTTGAAATACTACTTATCTCTGCTTTTTTCATTCTTGGAATTTTCCATTATTTGCTATGGAATTTCTAAATGTTTTCAAATGAGATTAAAACAAAGAAGCAGTAACATTAATTTATTAGTGATGGAGGACGTTGAAAATGTTCTTAAAGAACAGGCTCTTCTAGTTATGATAAACAGTTTACATCTTGGACTTCTTTGAATTATCATGCTGCATTTACAACTGATTTTATGTATCATTGGAATATTTTGTGACTATTTAACTTGTTGTCTTTGTACTTTAATGTAAAAAAAATTAGATTAATCAAAAAATACTGAAAATTTGTCTAAATTCTTTGTGCCTTGCCTAAGAGAAATGTTTTTCATTCAATTTACCGATGGAAGACCTGCTGCATCCACTTTGTGAAGACAGTAAACAAAAGTGAAAAGAAATGAAATTGAGTAAATTCACATCCGAGTGTATGTAAGTAAATAAAAATGAGCACACTTTGCTGACCATTGCTGATGGATTTCTGAACTTAATCCTGTATAATTTACTAACATCCTAATAAAATTGAGATTTTTTTTAAAAAAAGGATATTATTTCCTGAAATAGCTACAGTTTTTTGTCCTATGTTAAACAAATGAAGGGAAAAATGTATCTCCTAATGAGCTCTTTCCTTTCAGACTGATGGACTTTCCCCTTTTGACTTGATGGGTTGGCAGCTGGACAAATTTCCTCTGCCTAGTAAGTGAAACTGATATTTGTTCAACATTGAGAATCTCAAAAGTCTGTCTCTTATATTTATGGAATGGTGTATACAAAATAATGGCTATTTTTCATGGAACTTAAGGGACCATTATGAAGATCTAGCCTGATTTCTAGTATAATACAAGCCATGATATTTTACTCAATAATTACTGCATCAGGTTCATAACTTCTTGTTGATCTAAAGCATATCTTTTAGAAAGTCAGCCAACTAAAAAAACTTCAAATGATGGAAAATCCCCCACATCTCTTGAGCTTTATCTTCCAGCCTATGGGGGAAGATGGGGACGTTATGCCTCTGTAAGATATAAAGAATTATCTACTAGCTAAGCATCACTTAACTGCTGGGGGCTGGAACCAACTGTGAGTAGGTTGCTGCTCCAGTCCTGCCAGGGTCCTCCTGTGTACAGGGACTGCTCTCATCTGCAACAGCCTCTGTCAGCAGGGAACCCAGGCACACCAGAAGAATCCCAAGCATTTACAGGCTGGGGACTGAATGGCTAAGTAGCAGTTCTGCAGAAAAGGACCTGGGGATTACAGGGGCTGAGAAGCTGGATATGAGTCTACAGTGTGCTCTTGTAGGCAAGAAGGCTAATGGCATATTAGGGTGCATTAGGAGGAGCATTGCCAGCAGATCCAGAGAAGTGATTATTCCTCTTTATTCGTCTCTGGTGAGGCCACATCTGGAATATTGTGTCCAGTTCTGGAGCCCCACTATAGAAAGGAATTGGAGGCATTGGAGAGGGTCCAGCAGAGGGCAACCAAAATTATTAGGGGGCTGGAGCACATGACCTATGAGGAGAGACAGGGATTTGGGTTTGTTTAGTCTGGAGAAGAGTGAGGGGGGATTTGATAGTAGCCTTCAACTTCCTGAAGGGAGGTTCCAAAGAGGATGGAGAGAGGCTGTTCACAGTAGTGATGGATGGCAGAACAAGGAGCAATGGTCTCAAGTTACAGTGGGAGAGGTCTAGGTTGGATATTAGGAAAACCTATTTCACTAGGAGGGTGGTGAAGCACTGGAATGGGTTACCTAGGGAGGTGGTGGAATCTCCATCCCTAGAGGTGTTTTAAGTCTCGGCTTGCCAAAGCCCTGGCTGGGTTGACTTAGTTGGGATTGGTCCTGCCTTGGTCAGGGGCTGGACTTGATGACCTCCTGAGGTCTCTTCCAATTCTATGATACTAAGGGCTGCTACAGCAGGGTTGGGAGCTAGCAGCCAGCATCAGCATGGGACTGGAGGAAGGAGCCTTGCAGGATGGGTGCTGCTCCAGCTGGACTGGAAGAATCCCCAGCCTAGATCATACGTTAGTCGGTGAATCGGTTAAATGTTAGGTTTACCTAACATTTATCCAGTTAATTGCTTAACTGGGATTTTGCATCCCAACTCCCTATATAAGCAAATTCTCTAAACCTTCTCTTCTATATACTAATTACATGTCTAAGAGTTCTCACTGTATGACCTGTTTTTCCAGATTTTAAATGACTCTTACAGCTCTCTTGAATCCTCTTCCAGTTTTCCAACATTCATTCTGAATTGCATAGCTAGTATAGGATTACCATATCCTTCATGCTGTGTACACAGGTAATGCCTCTACCCTTCTTTTCAGCATTTCCCTACTCATATATCTAAAGACAGCATTACCCCGGTACCCATGGCATCATGCAGGAAGTGTATATGCAGATGGTTAACTCTGCTGACATCTGTCATTTTCAGAGTGGATGCTTTCCAGAGCAGTCACAATGAGTCAACTTTAACACCCACGCCTTTGATAATGGAAATTGTAGCTTCCCTCAAAAAAACCCACTTCACTAGAATAGAAAATCTGTGTTCTTGAATTTACTGGATCTGCCTCTCACAGTAACACTCCAGCCTGGAATCTACCTTAAGTCCCCACTTATCTAGCCCCCTGGTACAGTATCTCTGAGTTTACACTGCAGGCTTCTTGTGCAAGAACTGTTTTGCGCAAGAGTTCTTGTGCAAAAGGCCTTGCACAAGAGCACGTCCACACTTCCATGAACGCTCTTGCGCAAGAAAGCTCTGATGGCCATTTTATTCATAGGGGTGTCTTGTGCAAGAAACCCCTGTTGCCTGTCCACGCTGTGCAAGAATAACTTGTGCAAGAAGCCCTCTGTTCCGATGCTTTACTGTAAATTTACTTGTGCAAGAAAACACGTGCAGTGTAGATGCTCCACAAGTTTTGCGCAAGAACAGCCATCAACCCAAGAACAGACTCGTAGCCTTTGAGTTTTTGAATTGTTCAGCATCCTTTGATAAGAGTACAAAGGACTGTGGAGATAAACTTGCATGGTGAGACTTAGATTCTGCAGCCAGAAGAAAGGCTTATGTATATGACTTGATATTGCCACTCTTACTTCTGCATAGCTGCTCTTCTTATGCTGTCTTCAGACTGAGCACTAGGCCAACAGCCACCACTCTGCATCTGCTCAGCTCTGACAGCAGTGAAGACATTAGGATGACATACTGTGACCCCTTTCTAAAATAATCTTGCTACCACTCTGCAGCTTCCTTTTGGGAATTGATCCCTAATTTGTGAAAAGGTGGTCTCCCCCATGAATCTGTATAGTAGAGGATAAAAGCGCAAACAGACTAGGTTCCATAGGAAGAAACCAGATTTCACAATTGTAACACATTTTCATGGTCGTGTATTTGAAAGGTCCTACCTATTAATGAAGAATACTTGGTCTGCCGAAGTACTGTAACAAACCCTGGGATCTGTCTTGGTCACATTTAATAAGGGAAATTGCAGGTACCAAGTTTCCCCTAAGGTTTTTAAGTACTTTATAATCATCTGATGCCTGGAACTTTGGTTGTGACGGTGGCACAAGATAGACGTTCTGAGAGAAAAGTACTCCACTGCAAATTTTCAGTTCCATATAGCCAACTATCAAACCTTGTGGATGAAGTACAGTTTGTTGCAGTGGGACAAAGTAAGCTCCCTCAAAAGACCAGAGAGTAACTGAAGGCAATGGAAGACCAGTTATGAAAAGGAAATTTCAGGTCACGGGATGTCTCTGATGTTAGGGCATGGTCAATGGACACTGCAGTCACTATGCAGAGAACATCATGGCTGCAGTTGTCAGGCATTCCAAAAGAGGTCATGTGCCACAATTGAGGACCTTCCTTCTGAGGGCTTTTTAAATCAAGAACTGGCAAAGTGCATTATTTTCTGAAGGGTTCTGCATCTCTTGGTTTTTACACGCAATTACAGAAGTAGAAACAAAGCAGCTCTCTCTGATTCTCCAGGTAGAGGCCTCCATCATATTTTAGTTCTTACACTCTTCTGAAAAAGAAGAGGCCTGTAATACTATGACAGA